AAAAAAAAAGTCCGAGCAAAGTTAGGTCTCTCTCCCCAGATCGATTATAAATACGTGCGTGCGCGTATACACTGTAATAATAATAAAATCACCTCTTCGGGTCGGGGTGGGTTTTCTTTGCTCCTAAAAAGAGATCAGTCTCACACACACGCTTTTCTTTTTTTTTCCTCAATGAACAGGAGGCCGACTCGCCAATACCAAGTCACTTTTTTTTGTTGCTGTTGCAAATGATCAAGAGGAAAGGGGAAAGCCAAAGAAAACAAAATAAAGTGGATCTAAAATAAAATCCCAGAGCTTTCTTCCACTGAGTTCCTCCAAAAAAGCAGCTTGTGCAATGTAGCCGTTCTGCTGAGAAGCTGCTTGCTGCAGGCTCCTCTCCCCTCTCTCCCTCTTAGCTTTCTCGCTCCCTCTGCGAGCGTGTGTGTTGCAGGCAGCTCTGTGGTTTGCAATCGGGGGGTTGTTTTGGGAGCGCAGCGGATTTGTGGTGGTGGTTGTTGTTGTGTGTTTGGAGGAGGTGGAGGAGGAGGAAGATTTGAGATCTGAGCTGTAGGGGCTCGGCGTTTTTCTGCTCGCTCGCTCTCTCCCTCTCTCTCTTTTTCTTTCCGGAGGAGGTAGGGTGATCTCTCTGCAAAAGCAGCAGTAAATGGCGTCATGTGGATCTGAGGAGGAACAGAGCAGTTGTTGTCCCAGAGGATATATCGCATCCGGTCCCAGCTCATTGGCTCTGCGGGGCTACATTCACTGGCGCTCCCAGCGCCCTGCCAGCACTCTGAGCTGCGGGAGGCATTCAAAAGGGCAGTGCTGCCGCCGAGCCAGCCTGGCGGCTTCGGCCCGTCCGCGGCGATCCCCTGGGCTGCGCTGCGCGGGGCGAGCGGCAGCCCCGCTACCGGGGCCTCTCCGCAGCCTGCGAGCACGACAGGCTGCTCCGTGCACGGGCTCACGCCGCTCGGGGTTGCTTTTGTGCTCGTGTATTTACTCAGAGGCAGGCGGCGATAGCTTTGCAGGGGAGCCGAGGGGAACTCGCCTCTCCCGGGGAGGAAGGCGCGCTCTCCCCGCCGCTGCGGGCTTTCGGGGAGACCTGCGTTCAAGTGCTCCCCATTTCCCTCCCACACGATTTTCTTAACCGAGTGGAATAAAGCTTTGCACTTTCTGCCCCTCCCCCCCCCCCCCCCCCTTCGCCCTTTCCAGTCGCCGGCCGCGCAGGGAGCAGGAAGGGTGATTACTTGGGGCATTGTCCCGCGGATTAACGCGATTAGGCGGCGCGGAGGGCGCCCCCGTGCCCGGGCGGGAGCGCGGAGCGGGGCCCGCGGGGCGCGGAGCGGGGCGGGGCGGAGCGGGCGGCGGGGCTTTCCGCGCCTCGGGCGGCCGCCCGCGGGGTACGCGGCGGCCCTGGCAGCACACAGGTCCTCTCGCCTCTGCGGGGGGTGGGGTGGGATTTTTCTTTAGTGGGAAAAAAAAAAAAAACCCCCCCCCCCCCCCCCCCCCCCCCGCCCAAACTTTATTTTAATCAGTTCCCATTCGTGCGGGGGACACGGTCTGCAGGCAGCTCGCGAACGTGACTGTCTTCTGGGCGTTCCCTGACGCGGCCACAGCTCGGTCCCTTTGGTACGAGCTGCAAGCACCGACGGGGCCACTGTGGATGGTTGGGCCTAGGCATCTTGCGCCAACTTATATCTATAGGCGTCCCCGCGCTCCCACGCAGGCATGCACTGAGCACGAGTGTTTCCACGCCACGTGTGGCACTGCTTCAGATACACACGGTGTGTAAGGCTGCGTGTAACGTGCTGCGTTATTTACATGAATAACCCTCGCTGCAAACCCCCCACCAGCCCTCCTCTACTTGAGGCGATTTCGCAGGCACTTCCTCTCCTACACCTGCTGGTCACCGCTGTGTGGAGGAGGTGGTCAGTCCCGATAAAAACGTGTAAATAAAGAGGGCAGCGTGTCTCACACGGCCGGCCTTCGGGTTTTCGTGTTTTTATACGCAAGTATCCATTCTTCCACAATAATATTTTGAAGTTGCAACCTATTTTCCACAGTTGTTGGCAGGGCGGTCAGCCGGAGTCACACGGGGCTCACTTCTTTCCTTCTTTTCAAGTGGGATCCACCGCTCCCTACCCCGCACAGACCTGACGCAGCCCGGACCTCCCTCCCCACCCTACCCCTCTTCGACCCCCAGGGCCTGCAGACGGAGGCGGGGGGCTGCCCTCCGACGGAGCAGCAGCCCGGCGGGAGTGGGTTACCCTCGGGGCTGCCGGGGAGCGGCGGCGCGGCCGCTCTCCCGCCAGAGGGAGCGCGGAGCTGGGGCGGGGGGCGGCGGGTCACGGCTGCTCCGCGGGGGCAGCAGCCCCGGCGCCGGTCAGCGCCAGACGAAGCCGCGGGCCTTCCCCTGAGCTCCCCCTCGGGAGGGGGCACCCGGCAGCGCGGCGTCTCGGTGAGGATGCACTGAGGAGAGACTTGAGCATCCTTGGAGGTGGTGCCCTGTGTGCAGGCTGTGCGCTCTGTGTCAACGAGGCAATCCACGGGATTAGGCTGTGAAGGATGTATGGGTTAAAACACCCGAGAAAAAGAAGACACGATATTCACCTCACTGTGGAAAAGACAAAAAGCACTTCCCCCCACATGGTAAAGTCAAAATAGTTTAAAAGAAGTATGCAAGCCTATGCATGTGGAAAGGGTCTTTTAAATTATTTATCAGTGTTAATACTGACTATATAAATAGAGTTTTAAACCAGAAAGTTCATGTTGGTCTGTAGTGCAATCATCAGTCTATGTGCCTGTTCTCAAGTACAGGTGTATACACTTAATATAGAGAGTAGTCTCAACGACAGATCTGAAAACAGTGTAGCTATTTTTATTCACAAAGTCAGTCATGCATGCAAAATGGTGAAGCATCAATGTCCTATAGCTCAAAAAATCCCCTCCAAAAAACCGGAACCTCAAGCGTACAGCATCCAGGTACTGATAAGTTTGAAAGAGAGACACCAAGCCTGCAAAGATTTGTGCACAAACTGGCACGCAGGTAATCAAGAAACAGTGCACAAATTGTGGGCGCTTTTTTTTTTTTTTTTTTTTTTTTTTTTTTTTTTTTTTTTTTTTTTTTTTTTTTTTTTTTTTTTTTTTTTTTTTTTTTTTTTTTTTTTTTTTTTTTTTTTTTTTTTTTGCTTGTGTGTTTGTGTGTTGGAAACTCAAAGCTGATTTCTCAATATTTTAATCTGATGGCACCTTGGAACCAGCTTTTGGAGGATTACATGTATCACTCACATTTCACATTTCTTGTCATAGAGAATGACTTAATGCATGTGATTATGTTTCCCCTAGTGGATTGCCCTAACCACTGCAGG